TCTCTCTTGGAGAAAGTGTGACCAGCGTGCCCCTTAGAGACAAGGATGGTGAAAGGGACGTGATGGAGGGCACTCTTTCTATAGTGTTCAATCAGAACAGGTCAAGTGATGTACAAAACCAACCCTAAATCCAAAACCACAAAAATTCGATTTTGCTCATATCCAGCTCTCGTGATACTCTGATGGCCTAGTAGGTAAGGAGTTGCACTGTCAACACAAAGTCAGGTAGTTCAAATTCACATCTGGGCAAGAAAGGTGGACATTCTCCTCTTGTGTGACTGAAAACCTCCTGGTTTCCAACTATACAGCAGAGTGAGGGACATGACCAATTCAATTCCACAAAGAGTTCCTTCTCATCACAAACATTCAGTGTGCCGAGTAGATGAAGAGTTCACCTCAAACATAGGTAAAAGAGGAAGAGTGTTACTTTTAACCTCTCCATATTAAGATAAACTCTTAATGATAAATTGAAGTAGCAAATAATCATTTATCTGATTAAATAATTAGAACATGAGTAGATTAGGCAAATATTCAAGTAGTCAAATTTTTTCTGAAAACTTTCAATGATACTTCAGCTTTATTGTCACAAAACATCTTCTAACCAAATATAGTTGGAATTATTTATGTACTGTACCATGTGTCTTCCACCATTGCTCATTTTCTCCAGAGATTCCTCATGGCGTTTTTCACCTCTGCATTTCTTAGGGTATAAATCAAGGGGTTGAACATGGGTGTCAGAATACAATAAAACACAGCCACTATTTTATCGATAGACAACGTTGAGGATGGTCGCATGTAAATAAATATACAGGGCACGAAGAACAAGGCAACAACTGTGAAGTGGGCCCCACAGGTGGAGAGGGCTTTGCGCCTCCCCTCGGCACTGTGAGACCTCAAGGAGCGCAGGATGACGATGTAGGAGGCAGCCAGCATGAGGAAGTTCAAGAGGCAGATCACACCACTGTTGGCAACCACCAGCAGGCCGATGACATACGTGTTGGTGCACGCAAGCTCTAGCAAGGGGTACAAGTCACAGACGAAGTGATTGATCACATTAGGCCCACAGAAGGGCAGCTGTAGGACAAGGAAGAGCTGGACCAATGAATGAAGAAGACCTCCCAACCAGGCTATC